CACAAGACCTTTTTACTTTTTAAAGCGCTGAAGAGCAAAGATGACAGCTTGAGGACTAAGGTGCGCCTTACTCAAGCCATGGGGTTTTCAATAACCTCACAGGCATGCAAAAGCTGGACAGTGAGTAAGGAAGACTGTAGAATTGATGCTTTTGAGTTATGGTGTTGGAGGTGAATATTGAAAGTGCCATGGGCTGCCAAAAGAACCAACAGATTCATTTTGGAAGAAGTGCAGCCAGAGTGCTCCTTGGAGGCCACGATGGCCAAACTTTGTCTCTCATACGTCAGACATATTGTCAGGAGGGACCAGTCGCTGGAGAAGGATATCATGTTTGCTAAGGTGGAGGGTTAGAGAAAAAGAGGAAGACACCCAACAAGATGGATTTGCCAAGTGTCAGCATCGATGGACTCAAGCGTGGCAACAGTAGTGAGGTTGGTCCAGGATCAGGCAGTGTTTCATTCTGCTGTGCATAGGGTCGCTATTAGTCAGTACCAACTTGATGGCACCTAACAACAACTCCACTTAAAATGTGTTTTCTGCTTATATAAGTCAGTCCATCTCTATTATTAACTTGCAAGAAAAGACTTTTGGGCCATTACTAGACTAAATGTAACTATTACTGAAGTAATGACTCAACTTTTAGAAGAAATTGATGGTTTCCGTCAATGACTAAATGGTGATCCTTCAGTAGAATTCAGCTCTGCAGCCTCTATTGACAATGAGCATGTTCATAGCAATAAGGGCTTGTTTTAATAGAATGTTCCGCGCATTAAACACATTAATGACCCATGAAATAACTGTTTTATCTGCAACACATTAAACAACATTGCTAAAACAATGTATTAATTGAAGTCTGCTATTTCTTTTAATGTAAGATTTTTTTTAAAGAATCAAAGTGGCATGAAAGTCGTTTTGTAAAAACAAAAATAATTAAATTTCAAAATTCAAGCTATACCAACAAATGATGGTGAAACAATTAAAACATGCCTGGTGATTTTAAGATGAACGATTTTAATAAATTCCAACTGTCTGATAAAAAATGGTACCTGTGCAGATTACCATTTGAGAGTCTTACGGATATTTTAAAAGCTTTTACCTTTTTCCTCTCTGCATGTCAGTCTTCCAAAGGACTTTTCTGCTCTTTTTCTTTTTCCTTAACAGGCACAGAAACCACCACACTTAAATATCCCTCCCTTCCTGCCATCTCTTTCAATTTTCTACAACTACATCTGAAAGTACAAAAGTCCCATCGTAGCATTTTCTGTAACTATACTATCACAATTAAAACCACAGCCACATCAAACCAACGTCAACCCTCTAAACATGAAACATAATATGTGCAGGAATAAGTGTATGAATTATCAGTGTGTTTTATAAATTCTCTTTTGGGGGGCATAGACAATATCAGACTAGAGACAATTATTTTGCTGTCTGTTTCTTAGATATCAAAGAGAATTTTGAAATTCATCAAAGCTAACCTTCTGTTATGTACAACAGGCTAAGCTGAAAAGAATGTTAACAAGTTCAATTTTCATTCAATCAGCACTACTGCTCTCTGAAATGTTTCATTGCAGGAAAGAAATAAAAATAATCTATATGGTAATTATGAGGATGAATCCCCCAGTAACTTTCAGCTACATGAAAGGTCAGTTCTATTCAAGATATTTTATCAGTCCCCTGCACATACTCCTATGCTGTCATTTTAAATCTGAACAGCATTTTATTTTCCCATTTACAGCTACCTGCAGAATTAAGTACTTAAGCCAAATAAGAAAAAAAAGAAAAAAAAAAGAAAGAAAGAAAGAAAGAAATGTTGAATGCTGGCAAAGGCTATAATAGCATGGAGATAAATCGTTCAGCTGCTCTCTCTCAAGCCTCTAGGGCTGCAGATTTTTCTTCTCCTGGTGCACTGTGGGTATTCAAAACTTGTTCAACATGATTTCATTTCATTTCAGGCACTGCCTGAGAAAACTAAATTACAGAATCAATCATACAGAAGGTCAGAGTGAGACTTCATTACAAGTATTGCATGCTTGCATGAATATCTTTCATTTATGACTGACCCAATATGTCACAATAGCTGTCTAGTAAAAATAATCCACTTTCTGAAATTGATGTACTACTGATGTCAATGCTACTCAGCAGGTTGGGCAGATTATAGAGAGGTGTTAAACATACACACACACACACACACACACACAAATCCTTTGAAGCACATGTTGTAGATTTTTCGATTAAAATAATTTCCAGATGATCATATGGACTGACGATAATACTTAGGAGGTAATAACCAATTTTTAACCAAAACACACTGATGATTTTGACTTGCTCACCACATCCTCTTTTAAAATACACAGATCCACAAGCAAATCAGAGTTGTTCTTTGAAGTCACAAATGCATCGACATTCAATTTTTCAGCAATTCGCTTTTGAATACAAGGGTGTTTATTTGCATATTTTGAAACTGTGAATGCTAATCACTGGACTCTTTTTAATCCCCTTCCCCCCTCTTTTGGTTCTTGCTTTCTGTTTTAAAACACAATGGCATGAAGTTAAGGAAGATAAACATGTAGTGCTTGTTGCCAACAATAAAGCAGCTCATCAGTAATGTAACAAACTATCATTCTTTCTAAAGGAAAACCAATGAAGCTCTGAAGAAAAGCTGGTTCAACACAACATAAACAAGCTGGCTTTTCTGCTTCTATGATAGTCCTAATTCACCATAGCAATTCTTAACCGACAGCCATATTCATTTGGATAATAAAACTTCTGACTTGCATAAGGTCTGAAATATCCAGTGCATGCTGGATGCATGATGTATAAAGTATTATTTATTCTTTTTCTGGTGACCTTCCTAAGGGAAATCTCTGAGGAGGCTGTTGTGGAATATTATGATGTAGCCAGCCAACTCAGTACCCGGAGGGAGATAGAGAGGAACCTTGACATAACCTATTTTTAACCATGCCTCTGGCAATTCTGAATTCAAGTTTATAGGTGAACATGTCAGCTAGTCCGCAGAAGAAAGCCAACGACACAGTGTATTCATCATAATTCTGTCCTAGTCTATTTTATTTTTTCCAACATTTGTGATTTAAAATCCCATGACATTTCTTCAAGGTGAAATTCTACTAGAATTTTCAACTAGATTAGTTTGTTTCAAGTCAAAATAAATAGCCTTCTGGTTCAGTAAAACTTCAAAAAGGCACCAATAAATGCAATGAGGTTCGTGTAAATACCATGACAAGAGATTGTACTCAGCTAAAGTACCTATGCTTCTAAAAATCAATGAAATAATTCAGCTGCTTTAGTGATTAGCAATATATTACAGGAGAAGCATTAAAAATTGAGTCCTTTTTTTCCCAACGCCAGTATGTGAAAGCATTGTTCTTTAAGTGTATGTGAATATCATAATTATTTTATGATTCCATCTTTAGTTCTTTCCAATATAGTAAATTCAATTGACCATGAAATGAAATTTCATAGTCAAAATGCCTCCTTTACACTTTTTTATAGCAGCAATAACAGTTTTATAGCTTAAAGGCAAGGTAATTCATCAGATGTTTAATTTAAAGGCAGATTCTTATATTATTAATAAATATTTACCAATTTAATAAATTACACATTTTAGCATAGATTATATGGTCTTTTAACTATTTCCACAACTTCAATTAGCCTCACTGAGCATCTACGAATAGTGAGTGAGCCCTGGCTAACTCCCTTAGTGAATAAACAATCCCTTTATGTTTATGATTTTCCAGGCACAACACTGCAAAGCCCGATGCTAGAAGAACAGAGGGCAGACCCTCCATTCCAGTGTCAAAGGGACAAAGATGTAAAAAAAAGTCCAGAGGAAACAATTATTTATGATGGCAGAGAACATTTATGAATACTTAATGAGCGACTGTTTGCTGCATTCTTTACTGGCCAAAAAGCAAAAATAAAAACCCTGATGTTCAGTTCAAATGCAAAAGATCACAGGGCAAAGAAAACGATGGTGCCGAAATCCAATTGGGAACATAATTTTATATTTCAGAGAGCACGCTGAATCTTTGCACTGTTAATCCACTACATATTTTGCAATCATCCCTTGTCATCTGGGGAATTAACAATGAAACCAATAAACATCACCCGCATGGTCCTAATGTGCAGACAAACAAGTAAACAAGCAATAGGATTTGTTTTTTGTTATACCAACACATCTGTTTCTTTTTACCAGGTTTTAAAAAAATAAAGCCCTACAAACTATTAGTCTTGTTTTAAATTGTGTGCTACTTAGTAGCTCACCTAGATAGACACAAATGCAAAAAAAAAAAAACACCCCAAAAAAACCAAAAGACAACAAGCCAACAAGAATCCCAGCAGAAGAGTTTAAAATATTAAAGCAGATTTACTCTGGTGATTGCTAACTATAATTGCACACTAAGAAAAATAGAACCAAAATTATTGCATTAGTAATCTTGGCTCTCTGGAGTGCCTTACTCAATGTTTATGACAATAAATAACACAATTAGGTGTATTTCACACAATAACCCACTCTACATTTTCCTCTGCTGGTTAGAAACAATTTTTTCCCGTTTCTTTGTATCACAGTTTGATATTTAATGTGAGGTAGGAAAAAGCCATGTTTCATAAACATTATATTGTAATCCAACCAATGAAAAAGACCCTCCATTTGTTAAATCTCTCCTGGGCAAACTCAACTTCAAGCACATTGCTTTATTAAACCAAGGGTAAGGAAAGATCAAATCAGCTGCTTCCAAACCAGTGAATCAGATTTCTTAAAAATCATTTCAATTAAGAAGGATCTTACCAGTCCAAGACTCACATGCCCTTTCACATGGCTATTACCCAGCCACCCTCTTGCTCAATCCCGAGATTCATCTAGTTCCTGTGCCATTTCAGTACAGGTGGAAGGACATTTCCAAGCATGGCTCTCAGACCTCTACCACCAATAAGAAGCGCAAGTGAAAACACTTTCAAGCAAGAAACGTGGTACCTACCATATGCAACCCACTACTATGAAGCACACCATCTTGTTCCACAAGGTTTCTTGAGATTGTAATGGAAGGAAGATCTAGGCTTTGAGGTGGAAACTGAGGTGTGAATTCACTTCCCTGGGAAGGCAGTGGATCCGCCAGGCTTTGGAAGGGCAGAAGGACATCAGGCATGCCCAGGGCAGGGTCTGACTCTGGAGGAGGAGTGATGGGTGGGATTTCAAACTCCTCATCGCCAAGGCTTGGCGTATGAAATGTCTGCTAAAAAGAAAGAAAATATAGACAGCTTCAAATTCTGTTCCTGTATCTTATTTCTCCTTAGGGGCTGGAGGGGAGGCATAGGTGGCAGAGAAGCATGGCATGAAACCACTACATATCTAGGCCACATATTTATAGTCTCAAATATAAACATCTTAAACACAGATTTCCATATATAAAGTTTTGCTGATCATTCTGATTAAAGATTTAAGTCTCATTATCATATGGTTTTAATGGAGTATCAGTATTAACAGTTTTTAATGCGTCCTTAATTAGCAACATCTGTCTTTGTTGTTAGTTGGCGCAACAGCGACATCAGATTTGGCTATCTAACAAACTGCCACTTTATTGATATGTTAGCGAAACAGCTCAAACCACTTACATTATCCGCATGCTTCATAAAATGCTGACAATTTTGTGGTGCACACACAACATTAATCCAGAAGTGAACATTACACATATTTACTTTCTGCTACAACAGATAAAGCAAGCAATATTAAATTCGTGGTTCAGGTTTTTTAATTTCCTTACTGTTATATTCCCAAGTGCAATCAATGCATCTGTGAAAATGTTGCTTTTTGTTAGACAACAATTTATATAAGGATTATCAGAACTCATATTAAAAGGTGTCGGTGCTTTTATTTAAACTGTAAGGGGGATTGTTTCTTTTTACATGAACAGTTTAATATGTATCCACCAGAACATTTTCCACCACCCTTAAAGTTACAGAGACTGTCTAGCGTCATTGTTGTTAAGTGCCGTCGAGTCTGTTCCCAATCATAGAGGCCCCATATAGGGTTTCAGCGGAGCAACTGGTAGGTTTGAACCACTGACCTTGTGGCTCAAACTGTGCTTATCCTGCAGCGCCACACCAGGACTGTAACAATATAGATAACACCCACCACATTGATGCTGCTTATTTATTTGGACAAGTGTCATTTCTCAAGATCTATGTAAATCATAAAGCACTGTTTTTCTTCAGAAGAATTATTGCAGACTGTTTTTAAACAGGGTTTTCTGATGCAAATCAGGTTTTGCCTGCATAAACATACTAACCATTTTTCTTAAAATAGAATGGATTTGGGGGTGAAGGAGGAGCAAGGTCTGAAACACTTGTTTGGTGGGGTGAAGGAGTTGGGGGGGGGGGTCACTCTGATATGTTTTATCCTAACACAGAGGTCCCAAATTAATTTCTTCTTTATTGTATTTGAAAGAATGAATCAGTGCAAGGTCATTTGAATTTGCTACAATCAGCTAAGAACGAATTAAGACATGAAAACTATCATTCTTCAAACTATCAATGATAACATAATTACATAACTATTTGAGAGAAAACAGGTACAAACTCACGGAGAAAAAAACAAAAAACAAAAACCCTTTCTTTTGGTCTCTGTAGTACATAGAACCTGTCAGCTGTCATTATTTGTGTCTCATCAGAAATAAAAAGGTCCCAGGCTATGGAAAGACTATGGTCAGACAACTGAAAATCTTGAGGTTCTTAGCAAATTTAATATAGTCAAAAGCATTGCAGCATAATAAAACATCTGAAAGCTGAAATTAAAGATCAGATTTTATGACATATCTATTTGAATAGCGACCCCCAAATATGTCAATTGCTAACTGCGGTAGCCCCAAATTCTCAAACACAAAGGGATGAATTGGCCACAAACGTGGCTGGCTAATGAACGTAACCCTATGGCTGCATTTGCTGTTATTTTGGCACTAATGTGGTCTAGTAACAGATGCAACTGTAATTTGTGACTCATTTGCTACCCCATTACTGCTTAATGAAATCTAACATATCACATTAACAATACGGATAAACACTCATTCTTGATATGTGGCATTTGGCTGTTTTCATTACCACTGTAATTAACACTTGAAATATTATTTCAATAAATATTTAAGGTACTTTAAAAATGGTCATGGTAATCATGACACCAATGGAAAACATAAAGCATATGTGTGAATTTCAAACTCATAGTATCCTAGTCCCTGTAGTGTTATCTACAAGGCAGTATCTATGTGAAGGAAATTGGTTTCAGGCACAATTTAGACTTTGCAGCACTCAAAGCTAAAGTCTTTCTGAATTAGTTTGCACTCATTAAAATGTTAAAAAACCAAATAAATTTACGTTCAATGCAATGATTGAGAAATTAGGCACATGCTATAATGCGGAGCATTAACATTTCCTTGAGCTCTATTTTCTTCTCAAAGAACAATGTACAGTGAAATTGTTACATAAGATTACCTCTTAAACTCCAACATAAAGCACTTCTTAGGCTGGGCCATCCAAATTAAGGTTTTCATTTTGATTTTTGTTAAGGAATAGAAAGCTATCATATATAATCTGTCCCTACAGCGTGATTTTTTTAAAGAGACAAATTAATTTTAAATTAGAATTTAGTATGCTGCTATATCATAACCTACTAAAACAATACAATAAAATTATACTATCTACCCAAGAAAATGCTAAAATCGTATACCACATTAAAAGAGAAGTAATGTATTAAATGTAAAGTTAAGCATTTCTTAGAGAAAAGAATAACCCCAAAAGAGTGGATTATCTGAGATTATAAAATTAGCCATGTATGGCACCAACAAATAAAAACACATTGGTTTCAATAAGTACACCATCTGACCCACAATCAGATTAATCATTCCGAGTTTACATGATCACTTTTTACAGATATTGACTTTTCAGTGTTTCCCTTGAACATGCTAAAGTAGTATGTACATGGTTAAATACCATCTGTACTGAAATGTTCAAAACATTTGTTCCTTTTGATAAAAATGCAAATCTGGAGAACTGTTGTATCAACATGTAACAGCCAATGTCTGACACGGTGAATTATCACAGCTGGAATTAAATTGTCTCTGAGCAGCTGCTGGAAGCAGAGCTTTCATCAATGTTTGATTCCAATGTAGGGAGAAAAATCCTACAGACTGAAACATCATGTTGTCCTTACAGATGGGGTTTGTATTCATTATCACAAACAACATGGGAGTCAGTGCCAAACAATATTCTCTTTTCTGAGATATTTTCTTGCTTAGAGAGATGATGGTCACTGTAAAAATGATTAATCCCCATTTATTCAAGTAATTTCTCAAAGCTAATTTCTTGCATATCACTTTCTTCCCTGCACCAAGATCACTTCTGAAGCCATTATTACTTTCACTCTCTGGGGTCAAGCTAGTTCAATTTCCTATATTTAAAGATATTTGGAAAATGAAGACTTTTATTACATGAACGCTGAGAAATGTTGCATTTGGACCAATTTCACTTCTATTTGGTCTTGCTTTTAAAACCTTAAATCTCACACCGTCTACCATTTTTAGGGAACCACTTTTTTTTTTTTTTTAATCTAGTTAAGATCAAAGTTTCTCTGCTAGCTGGCCAATGAAACCAAGCCAAGAGCCCAGGTCATGAAGTACGGACTGCAGGACATTTATCCCATTTGCGCCCAAACTGAAGACAAACCCAGTCTTCCCAGCTAAGGTCAAGATGAAGCACATGCACTCGTCCATTCAAAACTACTTACTAAGCACCTACTGTGAGGCCAGATCTATGAGAGCTGTACAGCCGACAAAACACTACACATCGTCCACACTGGCGCTGTAGAATAATACACTGGACTGCAAGATTGCTTTGAACCACAAGATCGGCAGTTCAAACCCACTAGCCACTCCTCAGAAACCCTATACAGGGTCACTATGAGTTGGGATCAGCTGGACGGTGCTTAACAACAACAACACCCAAAACCCAAGAAACTATAACACTGTTGTCAAGTTTCCCGAATCACAACATCTTAAATTATCCCCAAAGATACGATTTTTAAATATTTTCCATTCAAAGTCACTTCCAGCCTGGTTTCCAAAATACCAACAAATAAAGCTGTAGGACTGGTAGCAGTAGGGTTGGCAGTTCAAACCCACCAGCTACTACTCGGAAACCCTATATAGGGTTTAACAGCACTTAACAACAACACTTTGTTTGCAGACATGAATACACTGTTTATATAACTTCTAATGTGTACATGTGCTCTTATTTACATGTACATTTTCTCCATCAAGAAATGTATGTGCAGTTACTAACATTATTAACAGTCTATGGACACTGAATGAAGCCCTGTCAGGTCATTTTCCTTAACAGCAGACCTTTCTTCTTTCTTTTCCAATGTGCCACATAAGAGAAAAACTGGATACTTTGCTTTTCCCTGCAAGCCTATTAAATTATGGAGACATCACACAAAACATGAACACACAAAGGGGCAGACACCTACCTCACTAGCAGCAAAGAATGCGCTGTTCGCTTCAGCCATGTTCATGTAGTTGTTGTTAGTTCCAAACTACGAGAAAGCAGATCACTTCACGTAAATATGCAGCATCATACAGGAACACGAGGAGTTGGGTTTAGACCAAATGTGACAAAGCCCAATGCAGGCCTGAAAACCAGTCTCTTCAGAAAACAAAGCACAGACTTAACCTACCTACAGAATTCTAGAAAACAGTTTTGTTTCTCAGTAAGACAAAAAGCGAAGGGTAAAGATTACAAGCATTTGGCCAACTAGTCACTAGTGTGTGCTGTTTACTGAACTGGCATTTGTCAAAGGTTAGAAGAAAAACACTTGCCAAGAAAATCACCTTGACACATTTGTAAAGCATGCTGGGATTTCAGGACTTACTTTTCAAGACCAGATGTCACAAATGTGGGCAAGTTAAAATGTGAATTAAAGGGAATAAAATTCAATTCCCAGGACTCCATTTTTCAGTGAATGGGGTGTGGCAGGAATATAAATAAATCATAAGGCTAAAGAATTTTTTTAATATCCAAACAGTGCTTAAAACGGTATCTATGGTCATCAGAGCTGTTCAAAACAGTGCTATTTAATCTCTCAATGTAACATTAAGTGCAAAGAGGTTTCAAAAAATTGCAAAATCCTATGAACACAGCAATTTTTATTTAATTCCCTAACACAATGGCCTATTCATACCGTCACAAATAATACTGTATCAGCATTTCAGACATAAGCTCTTTATACTTCTAGGGACCTGTTATCAAAATGTAAACCTTGGATTTGGGCAGAAATGTGTTTTCTGATTCTAGTAGTTTAAGTAGATATGTTTTGTTGCTTTCAACAGCCAGCCACTATGGAGAGTTCCTGTGAGCATCATTATTAAGAGCTGTATTTCTTTATGATTTCTTAAATGGTGAAACAATGCCCTTCTTTTAATAAAGTGTACCTTTTCCTTTGGAATCTTGGGGTGGCCCTGTAGGAGAAGCACTAGACCACTTACCACAGGTCAATGGTTCAAACCCACCAGCCACTCCTTGGAAACCCTATATAGGGTCACTATGAGTGAGAACTGAGTCAATGGCATTTAACAACCACAACTTTGCCTGCTTTAAGGCATATCAAATACAATATAGGTCTCCAAAGGGCAAACTGTAATATATGTCCATTGTCTAATAACCAAACCAAGCCCACAATGAAGGGGTCTATTCCAAGTAACAGCAACTCTACAGGGCAGAGCAGAACTACTCCATAGGGTTGCCAAGGCAGTAAATCTCTTAAGGAAGCAGACTGCTGCTGTATCTTTCTCCTTCAGAGTGGCTAATGGGCTCCAACTGCTGACCTTTTCGTTGGCAGTAAAGTGCTTAAACCACCGCACAATCAGCACGCCTACCATTCTCTAATATAAATACTAAATAAAATTAATTATCATTTAAAGGTACAATTTTTTCCAAGGACATAGGCAGATACATAGGTACACTGATAGATACTATTAAGTGCCATCAAGTCTGTTCTGACTCATAGTGACTCTGAATAAGGTTTCCAAGGAGTGGCTTGAACCACCAACCTCACGGTTAGCTGTCCAGCATTTATCCTACAGTGTCACCCCAGGACTCCACACTTACAGATAGCTATGGAGGATGTATAGAATTATTGTTGCTGTTAAATGCCATCAAGTCGGTTCTGACTCATAGCCACCATGTGTAGGGTTTCCAAGGAGCAGCTAATGGGTTTGAACTGCCAACGTATGGTTTGCAGGCCAGTGCTGATCCTACAGCACCACACTAGGAGTCTATGGAGGATATATACAACAGAATATAAGATATACAAGCCTCATGCAATCTTCCTCTCAATAAACCAACGAACACTTGTTTCCAGTTCTTAGACTTTGAATGTGAACCTGCCGGATTCATGTATGGAAGCAGGACTGACATGCTATATTTTATCATGTCAAGCATCCAAAGGCTAAGCAGGATTTATATGAGAGATTCTAATGGTCCCAGAATGCTGCCCTGGTCTACATAGGCAAAACCCAGCCTGCAAAATGACAGCTAAAGGCACACCCACACGATGAGCCATCAGAAAGGCTCAACACAGGCCTCAGATTCATTTCAATAATTATCTTTATAGGGATTTCTGGAAGATGTATTTGTTAGCACTTTGGTTTCTCAGAAGGCATATGAAATCACACATACAGTTTCCCCATTCTTCGGGTAAAACGTCTACAAGAAAAGTATGGGCTTCTGTCTTGAATTTTTTAGTGAACCAATAGAGTCCTAATGTAGCATTGTAGGATAGGCACTGGACTGCTAACTGAAAGGCTGGAGGTTCAATCCTATCATCTGCTCCTTGGAAACCCTACAACAGGATCTCTATGAGTTGGAACCGACTTGATGGCACTTAACAACAATGATCTTAGAACTGAATCTTGGAAGCGCCATCCTGAATGTTCTTTGGGATACTTATGAGAACTTGGACTCAAGACCTGTATACGAAGCACCAACCCAAGCTCCCCAAACTACATCCTACCTGCATCACAACTTTCAACATTACTTAAATGTACGTTTGGTTCGGGAATTAGAAATCCATTTAAGGCAAACAGCTCATTATCGGAGGTTTTGTTGTTGTTGTGTTTTTTTTTAAGATTAAACTCACTTATTATCTAATAGCACCTAAAACAACAAAGAAAAATAAAATGGCTATTAAACTAAGGGCCTAAACAATTCAAAAAACAAATTAAGCTTAGAGTGAAATAAGAACTGGGTTAGAAATCCTCTTCTGAACAGTTAGTATGCGAATGTAATTACTGAAGAAACTACAGCTAATCAGCTGTGAATTGTATCCATTAATTAGTATTTGCCCTGGAGAAATGAGAAAAATCAGTAACAATACTGGCTGCTCGGGCAGCGACGAGCCGCTCTCTGGCTGCACAGCGTTTAGTCAAGCAGGTGGTTCCAGTGGTCCACGTAATTTGAAAAGCTCTCACCTGAAGTACTGAGCTGGAATTACAAAGCTCTCCTTGCATATCTTTTGTATCTATATAAGGCCTTAATTAATGGCTTTTAATTTAGAAACACTTGGCGATCAGGCGGGAACTGTTATAAATCATTTCAAATAGAAGTAAAGGTTTCTATTCTGTTTGCATAAAATCTCTCATCTACAAAGGAGGCTTCAAACATGGACTTGTTGCAGACAATTGTCTTTCTCTTGCACAGGTGTCTGGGACTCTGGCTGGTGTGGCAGGGGAGCCAGATAACATACAGGACACCAGTTAAGTATGAATGTCAGATAAACAACGTTTTTTTTCTTGGCATGAGCGTGCTCCTTTGCACAATCTGGGACATTCTCACATTTAAAAAGAGAATCCTTCATTTTTCTGAAATTCTAATTGTTCTGTATGTTGTGTGTTTGTATTGACCAAGTCTGGCAGCTTTGCAGTGGCAGTAAAAACAATGAAGTGGTCTGTACTGCTTTGTATTTGACTTAACTTACCAAGTAGCATGCAGTTTATTTTTATTATTTTATTTTAAAATGTGACCTATGAGTCCTGTTTTGTTTTCAAAGATTCTGAAAGAAAAAGTGATCTTTTTGGCATGGAATCACTAATGCCCTCGGAAAATGAACTTGAAGTGAACTGTGTACAATTTAATTTACTCTATGTTCTAAGAGAGTGTAAACACATTATATTAAAGAAATTCCAACAGAACCTGTTGTGCTCAAGTCTTCCCAAGGAAGAGAGACAGAATGAGTACATTTTGACTTCACTGCCACAGAATCACCTACCCTAACTGGAACAACTCATCACATAAGTTTTTGATGATGATTAAGGTTCACTGAGTGGTCAGCCAAGTGGTTGAGCTGGGGGGTGGCCCTGGGTTCTGGCCCTGGGTTCTGGCCCTGCTGAGGCAACCAAAGTACCAGTCATCACATTTTTGTGCTGTCGAGTCAATTCCGACTTATAGTGATCTGTCGAGGGTTTCCGAGGAAGGGCTGATGAATTTGAACCACCAACCTTGCTGTTCAAACTGACCTTGTGGGCCAGTGCTTATGCTATGCCACCATACCAGGACTCTGTCATCACACTGCTGTTGTGGTTGTTGGGTGCCATCAAGTCGGTTCCGACCCATGGTGATCTGGTATAGGGTTTCAGTTTTAATTAAATGTTTGACCAAATATTATAGCAGGCTAATTTTTAAGTTGATAATTTTGTATGGCCCACAAATGATGTTACATATTTTGGCAGAATAAAGGTTCCCCATCCCTTACTCAGCTGCTAATCAGAATCAGCGATTCGAATGCATCAGCCATTCTATGGGGAAAAGATGAGGCAGTAGGTTTCCTTAAAGGTTTACAGCCTCAGAAACACTACAGGGGCAGTTCCACTAGGTCTTAGAGTCTCTGAATCAGGTTGGATTTGTGTGCCAAGAGTGGTACTCTACGTACCTTGGTATAATTTTCTAAAGTGGGACTAAATTAAATGCATTTTTCCAACTACTAGTAAGATGCATCTAAGTATTAACCCAAGGTCAAGCAACTTGACCAAGATTGTAGATTCAAACAAGGATGCTTGCCTCACACTCTGTGCATTCTAACACCCACAGAACTTTAACATTTCACTCAGCACTCAGCTGAATTAAAAAAATCCTTACACTTTGTTATTTATCTTACTGAATACTAGACAAAGGCAAAATGCTTAAGAAAAGGGTTCCATAGTCCACAAAGACTGGAAAAGGCTGCAGACTGCCGCCCTATCTTTAATGGGCACCAACACTCACTACAAAGACCAGCAGAAAGCTCTGAGAAGTTCTGTACTTCATTCGTTCAACAAAACATTCATGCCACACACTGCACTTTGCACTGGAGACCAAACGGTGAATAAGACGACAAGGGTCCTACTGAGATACAGCATATATTTTTAAGAAATAGTAAACTAAAAAGAAACAACAAAAACTTACTTTGGGGCATTTCCTTTGGAAATCTTGTTCTAAGTTCTTTTATAACAGTATTCTTTTATTTTTATAGACTCATTCTTATAAAAGTGAGTATCTCAATTT